TAATTTTGTTTAAAAATATTGACCTAAAAGTGAAGAAACCAAGAGTTTTCTAAATAATGATTATAGACCTTCGCTTTTTCTGTTCCTGGAAATATATTTGGAAAAAAACACAGAAAAAATGATTAGGGTTTTGTCCAAAATTCGAAGCTGCAAAAGGTTTTCCAACAATGTTTGCAAATAGGTTAAAGAGGCGTTCCAATGAACACCTGAAGATTGTCAGTATTTTGAAGTAAAATGTTAGTTAGTAAGTAATGCGTTTTTTTGCATAGAAATAATTGCTTAATGAAAACTTTAGTAAAACTGGAAAGACCTGAAATTTTAAAGCAACTTTCGTTTCTTTTTCAAGATAATCTTAATTACTTTCGGTAAAAAACCTGAATAAAATTATATGGTTTTTGTGCCAAGTTTGACGCTGAAAATGGTTCTTTAAAGTTCCCTGCAAAGCGATGAAAGAGGGGATTTTTCTAACAAAATTAATTTTGTTATTTTTGACTGAAAAGACTCCATTATTCACAAAAAAGAAGAAAATCACTAGAAATTTTTTTTTGCACTTTTCATTAAAAACTTTTAGTTTTGTGATGACTTAATGACTTTCGGGAAAAAAACGGGAGAAATCTATTTTCGTTTTTGTGCCGAATTCGGCGCTGAAAAGTTTTTGTTAAATTCCTACAAAGCTATAAATGTATCTTGTAATTTTTCGCGTAAAAGATCGGGAGTATTTTTAAGTGAAACTGTACAAAATAGAGCGTTGTTGAGTAGAAAGTAAAGCAAAAAAATCAGTTAAAACTGAAAAACTGCATTTTTAACAAACTCTACAGTCTTCAATAATCCATCAATAATTCCAAATAATTTATTATAAAATTTATTTTATTCTGTTCGTTTTTTGATTTGATTTGATGAAAATTTATTTCATAATTTTTCGTGGAAAATTCCTTAAGATTCAGTCATGTCAGTATTATTAAGTGAAAATTGAGCATTTAGAAGAAAGAGAAACTAAAACTGCAAAATTCTGAAATTTTGAAGAAACTTTCAAAATGTTATTAATAAATGGCTTTTAAAATAAATCTAAAAGCAACCAAAAAAAAAGGTTATCAACATTTTCCCAGCAATGACACTGCGTTACTGCGCCGGTGCAAGAAAATCCAATAAAACGAAATGAACCTGAAAATCTCCCGATAACAAATTGCTGAAAATTCCAACAGTAAATTGTTGAATTTGCTGTCGTAAATACTTGAAAATAAATTGTTAAATACGCTGGATGTATTTTACTTAATAACTATTGTAAAGGTGTTTTGGCTTTGCAACAAATCTGTATAAAGCTGGCTAATTCAGTATCAAACAGAAAATAATTGTCTAATTAACTTTACATATTTTTTGTCGCTGCTTTGCTACGGACAGTTCGATATACATTCGAAATAAACTGCAAACATGCTACATAAAACTCGAATAATTCGATTTATGATGGCAGAAATTGAGTTGTTTTGACCATTACTGTGTCGTTTTAAAATAAATCGATTCAGGTGCTTAAAATGCACTTAATCAGTCAGGTATTTTAAAAGCTTTGTTTGTCTAAGTAAAAGTTTCTTTGTAGATAACTAGATAGAACTAGTGGAGGGAATGTTAAAGATTCCTTCAGTCAGCT